GGCGGTGGATTGCTTGAGGTCAAGCGTTCGTGACCAGCCTGGCCAACATGGTGAAACCCTATCTCTACCAAAAATACAAAAATTAGCCAGGCGTGGTGGCACACACCTGTAATCCCAGCTACTTGGGAGGCTGAGGCACGAGAGTCACTTGTACCTGGGAGACAGAGGTTGCAGTGAGACGAGATTGCACCATTGCACTCCAGCCTGGGCGACGGAGAGAGACTCCGTCACAAAACAAACAAACAAACAAACAAACAAATAAACTGCAAAAGAACGAAAAGCTTTTTCAATTATCAGAAAGGAAAGACATCTATAATCCATAATATTGTCGACTCTCGACTGAAGCGGGCATTCACAGAGGATATGAGAGGAGTGTAAATTATTGCCATCTTTGGGGGAAGATGAGACACTATCTAAAAAAATTTAAAAGAAATATGTCACTTCTTGCAACTTACCCAACAGATCTACTTACATAGTTCTTAGGAGAAAAGGCTCATGGCATGTGGGCATCATCGGTGCATAGGCAAGGGGGCATTCCCCAAGGCCATCTTTGTGCCACCAAAGGCTTAGTATGTTACCTTCCTTGTAATTTGCATTTCATAATTATTCATTATAGCAAAATTACTTTCACTTTGCCACTTTCTGGTTGTGTGGCCTTGGAAGATCATTGAATTTCTCTTTGTCTCAGTTTTCTCATTGGAAAATCGAAGAGTGCACTATTTCCTGTCTAAGACTACTCCAGTTAGCATGATTGCATGGCAAATTACCCAAAAATATGGTGGTATGCAACAATTTTTTTTTATGTGCATGAATTCAGTCGGTTGGGAATTCACATGGGAATTCAACTGAAAGACACTGAAGCTGGGGGCTGGCATACCCTCCAGTCTCACTCACATTACGTGTCTGGCGATTGAAGTTAGCTGTTGGCTTGGGGGCCTCAGTTCTTCCCCATGCTGTCACTCCATGTCAGCTAGCTAGGCTTCCAGCAAGCATCCATGAGAGACAGAAAGCCAGGTGTAAACTCCATAGCTTTTCCACAACTCCTCATTTAGCTTTGGAAGTCATACAGTATCATCCCCACTGCATTGTTGGTTAAGATAGTTTTAAAGTTCTCCCCAGGCTCAAGGGAGAGGTACAGTAGTCTGGTAGGGCTGCCATGACAAAGCACTACCAACTGGATGGCTTAAACAACAGAAATTAATTTTCTGACAGTTTTGAGGGTAGAAGTCTGAGATAAAGGTGTCAACAGGGTTGGTTTCTCCTGAGGCCTGTCTCCTTGGCTTGTAGATGCTGTCTTCTCCCCACGTCTTCACGTGGTCATCCCTCTGTGTCTGTCTGTGTTCTAGTCTCCTGTTGTGATAAGGACACTGTCATATTGGGTTAGGGCCTACCTTAAGGACCATATTTAACCTTACTTATCTCTTTAGAGACCCTGTCTCCAAAGGCAGTCAGATTCTGAGGTACTGGGGATTAAGGCTTCAACATATGAAGTTTGGGGGAACACAATTCAGCTCATAACAGGAGGGAACACGGATCCCACCTCTTGAAAGAAGGTTAGCATCACACGATACAGAGAGTTTGTGGGATGGCTCATACCAACATCATTGTCCTTGGAAAATAAAATCAGCCAACATGACCTACAGCCCCATCCTGATACCATCGGAATGACATAGATGAAGGTGATTCATAATGACAGCATCATACCGGTGTAACGTACAGGGCAGTAACTTCACTGGCCTCAAGGACAGGCCTCTGGTTGAAGGGCCCACAAGCCCGGGATACATCTCATCACCTAAGTAGATGATCTGAGCATCCGCTGTGGGTAAAGTTACACACAGCTGGGGTTTTGAACATGAATAGAAGTTACCCTTTGAATTAACCTTGAACAACTCGTGACTCTAATCAGGTTTTTTTGTTCCTGTCTCCCAGGATGTAGGGCTGAACTCTAAGCTTTCAGAAAGCACCTCTTGACAATAAAATCTTGGATCTTGTAGCAAATGCTGTGTATATGCTCTTCAGCTCTAGCCCCAACCTACTATGAACGTGCGTGCCTGTAAACTGCCACCCTCCAGCATCTTTTTCTGGCCATTAGAGCCTGATTTTCCTGAAGATTCAGCAGGTTGGAATGCCAGAGAATAATGCCCTCCCTGCACCCAGCAGTATTCCACCAGTGGCTGTGGGAGTGGCTCACACACTCCAGCTCCCTCCCCTCATGGGACTGGGACCTGGAGTTCCCAAGAGAGATGAGGCTCCGATTGTCCACAGGGTAGCTAGTTTTATTGTCACCTTCCCTGTCCTGTCTCCCTGTCTCCACTCCCTACAGTGCTCCTGGAGATAACTTCCCAAATTTGCTGCCTGCCCTTGGATGCTATTTTAGGGTTGGCTTCTGAAGGAACACAAACGAAGATAGACAGGTGTGCTGGGGAGCTACGTGTAAGACCATGCCAAAACATGGCCAAGAGCAAGGCAGTCAGCCCCTCCCAGGTTTAAAATCACGTTTTCTACATTGTCTCTCTCATATGAATCTGAGCGAAAGCCCAGCATTCTGCGTCACCTGGGCCACCTAAGGAGCTCCCTCCAGCCTCGGTGCTGAAGCTCCAGCCGCCCTCACCACATCACAGGAAACCACGAGCACATCCTCCTGCCTTCTCCTGCAGGCTCTTCAGTGAGCGCCTGCAGAACTGCATCTAGATCACAGGGCCGATATTGTCACCTTCCCTGTCATGGCTCCCTTCCTGTCTCCACTCCCTACAGTGCTCCTGAGAGCCGGGAGCGCTCCCTGATTTGTTTTATCTTCTGCACAACTGTGTGGCTGGAATAGGAAGCAAATGACATGGAATTTGCCTATGAAAAGGTATTCCCACCTGTGTCCTTGTGTCTGTAAGGACAGGAGGATCCAATCGTCTCATCTGGCAATTGGTCAACCGGGACCAAGGGTTAGTGGGAAACCTATGTGCCCCTACAGGCGGGAGGGGGACAGGGTGACCCTCTCCAGTGGCTCTCAGCCTGCCAGTGTCCCTGGACTGTTTCCAAGCCCAGGGTTCACCTGGGACAACTGGGCAGGTGTGTAGCGCTGGAGACAGCCCCTTTCTGGGTGTACTGATGAATCAGGCTTCCCTGGGGCTCTGAGGTGGATGATACCCCTCGCTCTCCCCTTCCCAAGCCTTGTGTACATGCTGCTCACCCTGGGGCCGCCTCCCTCCAGTCTCCCAGGCTCAGGTTTAGCTGCCTCCCAGCGGCATTTCCCTTTGCCCATGGAGGCCTCCTCTCCTCTCCCAGCTGAGTGTTCACCCCTCTTTATTTTATTTTAAACTTCATTTGGGTTAAAGTGTTTTTTTTCTCCCTGACCGTTTTTCTCATCTGCTGCTGCTGCCTTTTCCTTCCCATTGCGGGTTCTTAGGTTCAGAGCCTGGGGAGGCTCAACAGTCCATCTGGTGTTTGTAGATGGCCTCGGGGGACCTGACACATGTCCACAGGCCCTTTGGAGCTGAGGGGTGGATAGGACACCTGGGGGCACACAGTCCCCCACCCCGTGATGCTGGGACAGGACACACTGACCCTAGGCCCCTTCCGGCTTCCTGTGTGGCTCCTGGCCTGGCCATGGGAGTTACAAAATCAGAACTGGTGACTGCCACATACCTGGGGCCTCAGCCACAGCCAAAACCCAAACCGAATGAAGCCAGATCCCTACCTTAACCCATCTGGAAACAAAAACAATCCCAAAGAAGAGAGAGACGCGAGCCGTTTTGGACAGGTGTGTGATTCTGAAATTGAGGGACCGAGCCAGAAACAGAAATGCGTGCACCAGACCAGTTGCTGCACCCACTGGGCAGTCCGGAGCCGTGTGTGTGTGTGTGTGTGACACTGACAAAGAGTTTTGAAACACTGAACTGGCAGGGACTTGGAGGTGGAACCGTGTGACCCAATGCTTTTAAAAACGATTAAACTAACTTTACAGAACTCATCCTGAGGAGGGAGAAATGGGTCCTGTTGTAAGGCTCTGGATGTGGGAATTAAAATGCATGTACGGGCTCGGTCCGAGAGTCGAATGCACTCTTAAGGAAACTGAATCTTTGCCCCAGTCGGCAAGCTCAACAGCGATGATTAAACATTTAATCAGACGCATGATACTTTGTTGTGTGTTCATTGTGGCTACAGGAAAGGCTGCTGTAACAGATCTTTAAATAGCAAACCCGCGGCTAAATTTCACTTCATCCATCAAAGGCTGCTGCTATGCAATGACCTAATTTTAGCAGCTTATCAGTCCCCCAGTGCTTGTTAGTTGATGTAACTTTGATCCTCTGATGCTAGATGACTTTTGTGCTGAATATAGCTAGAATTTAATATGAATCACTTGGATGGCTGCCCAGCTCAGCTCAACTGTATGAGAGAGAGAGAGAGAAAGAGAGGATTCAGGCTACCGAGGTGAATAATAATATACACATAGGCTTCCTTTTTTTTCTGGGGCAATCAACTCCGTATCGCTAGGATGTATTTCAAGCACAATACCCTTGGACTTTTGTTTTATTTCTCCCTCCTAAACAATGAGACTGCCTTCTCCCGGCAAACATACATAGGAGGTAATAATGCGCTGCTACTGCCAAGATCTGCCAACAGTGTCAATAATTGCAAGACATTTTAAATGAATTTTTTCTAAGCAAATCATTGCCTTTTGCAGTGAGCGTTTATTTCTGTGTAGGGAGAGAGGAGCTGAGATGTTACGAAGGAGCAGAGAGCATCTTTAACAGCCCTCCTCCTCTCTCATTTTCTAAATTATTAGATCGTGCTTTTTCGGCTTTCCTGCTGTCTGGCTCCTCATTTGAAGTTTGAGATTTCCTTCCATCCTCCTGGCTCCTGGGCAGAACCACCTGTGTCCCAGGCATCCTTCCTGGATGGGTGTGGCTGTCGCCTCACTCTTCTCCGTTTGCCCTCGTTGACATTATTTCTACCCATAAAATGGGGTCCTGTGGTTTATGTTCTTCATTTTCTCAACATGGCAGGTAAAGCTTCCCAGACAGGAGGCCTGGGCAGATGCTGAAACACACCGGACTCTTGGATGGGCCTGGCCCCGGACAGCCTGCTGGGGTCCCGCCCACCCTGTCACTCCACCACTTTCTCATCCAAGGTGGGAGAGTCTTTTCATTTCTTCGAATTTCTCCTTCCAGAATTTAACCACTGCCTGCTTAAAACCTCCTCCACCCCAGATTGGGGTGGGGGGTGGTGGAGTGGGAGGAAATACAGCTTAATCTGACTTGGCTACTGGTCAGCAGTTGGGAGAGGAGGAAACAGGACTCCCCATCTCAGGGAAGTCTGTGGATCTCAGGGTATTTAATCTCCCTGGGACTCTAGTCCTATTATCTAGCGTGTCCTTTGAAGAGGCTGTCATGGTACAGGAGGCCTTTTCAATGGACATAAGATGCCTTAAGATCCCGAGAAGAAAGATTCTTTTAAAAAGAGATAATAAGCCTCTGTAATAAAGTGTCCCAAATGAAATTTACTTAAATACACACACTGTTCAAGCTAGCTTCTAGGTAGCTTGAGAAATGGCAGTGCCACAGCAGTGGTCCCCAACCTTTTTGTTACCAGCGACTGGTTCTGTGGACAACAGTTTTTCCACAGATGGGGGTAGGGGAAATGGTTTTGGGATGAAACTGTTCCACCTCAGATCATCAGGCATTAGTTAGATGATTCTCATAAGGAATGCGCAACCCAGATCCCGCTCATGCTTGGTTCAAAATAGGGTTTGTGCTCTGTGAAAATCGAATGCTGCCACTGATCTGACAGGAGGTGGAGCTCAGGCGGCAATGCTCACTCACCCTCCACTCTCCTCTTGCTGTGTGGCACAGTCCCCAACAAACCATGGGCTGATAGTGGTGCATGGTCCAGGGATTGGGGACCCCAATCAATGTGACTAGACATTGTGACTAGAGAGGAACAGAACATTCTATTTCACACACTGACATTTCAGTAATAACACAATACTGTTTCTGCAGACCAGCCCTGCCAACACCTTCGTCTTGTTTCACCTTTGCGAAGGTAGGGGAGGCATCTGGAGCTTCTTGACACGTCAGTCAGGCCGGAATGCTGCCTGTGGGCTGGGTCGGCTTCAGGCCTGCAGGTCAAAGTAAGGGTGCATCTGTGAGTGCCTGTAGAGCCAGCTCATGTCTGAGATTCTGTCCTTGGCAAATCCTGCAGCGGTAGAGTTGGGGAGGGGCAAGGAGGGTCACTTTAGATTCACAGGAATGGATCTCCGATGTTCATGCCATCGAATGCTCAGACTCATTGGTCATGGTTCGGCTGTCACTGTCACGGGGCCAGCTGCTTTGCCTTCTCCCCACCAGAACAGATAAGGTGGCACACAGTTTGAGAGGCAGATGAGAAATTCCCCACAGTGTATATGAAATAATGATGCAAGTAGCATAGTAATTCAAAGAAACACTTACAGAATGCTTTCTCTATCCTCAGGTGCTCTCTAAGTGCTGCCTATAGATAATCTCATTTAATCCAATCCCCTTAGAAGGTAAGTACAGTCATCTCTCAGTATCTATGGGAGACTGGTACCCACTGCAAATACTAAAGTCCACGGACTCTCAAATCTCATATAAAATGGTGTGATGTTTGCATATGACCTATGCATAGCCTCCTGTATATGTTAAATCATCTCTAGATTACTTATGACACCTAATACAGTGTAAATGCAATATTTGTTATACTGTACTGTTCATTACATACAGTGGCAAAAAAAAAGTCTGTACATGTTCAGTGCAGACTCAATCATTTATTTTTTTCCCCCCAAATATCTTGTATCTGAGGTTGGTTGAATTCATGGATGCAGAACCTGTAGATATGGAGGACCAACTGTATTATTGTTGTTTCTATTTTATAGGAGAGTAATTGGAGGCTCAGAGAGGTTAAGTAATGCACCCTAGGTCACACAGCTAGTAACTAGAAGAGAGGATTCTAACTTAGGCAAAGTCCAGAATTTGTGCTTCGGGACTACTAGGCTATACGGTCTCTAAATGACTAGCAATCTCCAACAAGTGTGCTTTGACTCCTCCAAAAATGACCTGCTACCCCTCAGTAAAAGCAGCCAATAGCAGGCTCTGTGTTAAGGCCCTGGTCAGTAGTTGCTGTTGGCTACGAAGGTGGCATTGTGCTATGGTGCCTGATGGCCCCAGAAGTGTTGAAATCCAGGCTGAATCCTGGCACTGGTATGAATCAGGGGTTTCAGTCTGAAGGTGGTTTGAGTCCGTGGGTTCGGGCTGAGCGCACTGATATTGACAGTACTGTTGTGAGTATCTGGCTTAGTTAGTCATCCCAGCGACATTCCTCAGGATGGGCTTGGATTTGTGGGGGGAAAAGGGCACCAGCGGGGGAGAGGTTTTGTGCCAGGTTGGAGGGTCTGCAGCCTGGAATCACGTGGGAAGCACTGGAGTAATCCGTCTCCAAAGCGGCATAGGCAGACCCCAGCACCACAGAGCTCAGCCCACAGAGCAACCCACGGCAGGGGAAGGCTCTCCAGGCTGCAGACCTCACTCTTTGGTGGTTAGCGAAGGATAAGAGGACCCTTAAAAGATCCTAAAACATAGAACAGAGATGAAGAGTTCCTGAGCAGAGAATGATCAGGTACCTGCAATGGAGCCTGTAAAAGGAAGGAGTATTGAGAACATCTCAGAAGCCAAAGCAGGTGAGTGCAAATTGGAAGAGAGGTCAAGGGGTGGGAGCAGAGGGAGGGAACTGCCTGTGATGTACTGAACTGTGTCCCCGCTAAAATTCCTATGGTGGACCCCCAACTCCCAGTACCTCAGACTGTGACTGTGTTTGGAGATAGGGCCTTGAAAGAAGTGATTAAAGTGAAATGAGGTCATAGGGTGGCCCTAGCTCAATCTGGTCTCCTTCTAAGAAGAGGAGATGAGGACACAGGCACAGAAGAAAGGCCATGTGTGGACACAGGGAGAAGATGCCATATACAAGGCAAGGAGAGATCTCAGGAGAGACCGATCCTGACGACAACTTGATCTCAGACTTCCAGCCTCCAGGACTGTGAAACTTTACATTTCTGCTGTTGAAGCCACAGTCTGTGGTACTACGGCCGGGCAGCCCCAGCTGATGAATATGCCGCCCTTCTCACCTCTCCAGGGCCAGTTGGTGTCTTATGGAGCTGCCTTTAGGACTCACAGGTGTAAGATGTGCTCCTGGAAAACTGCTATCGCCTTTTACAAAGAGGGACATTTGGTCCATTTCCACTCAAATGCATAAACACTGCAATCTCCCAGTGCTTGTTCATTGGTTCACTTGTTTACCAAGTTCCTCTGATGGCAACCCCAGTCCACATAATTATGTGCCCCTTGCCAGCCCTGTTCTTACGACTCAAAGATGTGTGCTGGTGGAGTACTGGCACAGGAGGTGAGGGGCGTGTGGCATCCTTTGGGATACCAGGAGGGAAATATCAGTGGCATCTGGGTAGAGTGGCCTTTTCCAGGGGGAAGGAAGCCTGAGTGTGGTTCAGCCCGAGGCGGGCTGTTTCTGAATGTTGGACGGGGGGGTTTGTGGTCACTGCTGAAAAGCAGCAGGAAACGGCCATGCCAGTCCAGCATGAGCAACTGAGCTCCCCGTTCCTACAGAACACTGATCTTGTCCCATGCGGGCCATGCATGTGACCCGGGGGCAGGGCTGTGGGGTCTGGGCTGTGCAGGCATCCATGGGCACGTGGTCATAGAGACTAGACTCCACCTCTCTGTCTCTCATTCCACATGGGACTGAGGCTGGGAGAGGGGTCAGAACTGCCATTCCGGGTTGGGGACAGAGAGCCCACGGTTCCAGAGAGAGGGACACCGAGTATCAGCCAGTGAGCTGCAGCCACGACCCAGGGGCTCATATCTCACTGGCAGGAGTCTCAGCCCTGCTGCTGGCATAGCCAGGCGTGAAGTGGGGGGCTCCAGACACGGCTCCCTGCCCTCTGGATTCAGGGCTGTTCCCAGCTACCTGAGCATGTCAGTTCTTCGGGCAGCCATCTCTGCCTGAAACCCAGAACTTCCTCCACAGTGAGCTGGGACCTATCCCCACCTGCTCCCCACTTGTGTGACACTCTCGAAGCTCATGAAGCAAGCGTTTAAGGCAGTTTGGGTTAGAAAGCCTTACATCTCAAAAAATAATAGGTTCCCTGACACCTCACCTGGGCCCAACTATTGAGAATTCCATTTGGCTGGTTCTGTGTAGTTCTTCAAACCTTGGCATGCTTATTTCACTTGTTGGGATAGACAGATCAATAAGGTTGCTGATCCCACCACTGGGGACAGCGGCGTCCACCAGGGACTGGCATATTCCGGTGAGCTCTCATGGTGGGTTCTGGGTATCCACTGTACGGTTTTTCGTTTGAGGTTACCATGAGGCTTGCAAATACTACCTTATAATCCATTATTTTAACCTGATAACAACTTAACACTATTTGCATAAACAAACAAACACTCAAAAAGAAAACTAACAAAAACCCTACACCTTAACTTCATCCTCTCCACCATCCCCCCACTTTTAAAATTTTTGCTGTTTCAATTTTACCAACTATGTCTTGAAAAGCTATTGTAGTTATTTTTGGTGGGTTCATCTTTTAGTGGTTCCACTTAGGATATGAGTAGTTTGCGCACCACAGTTACAGGGGCATAATTTTTGTGTTTTTCTGTGTATCTATTAGGACCAGTGAGTTTTGTACCTTCAGGTGATTATTCACTGCTCATTAGTGTTCTCTTCTTTCTGATTGAAGTACTCCCTCTAGCATTTCTCGTAGGACAGGTCTGGTGTTGATGAAATCCCTCAGTTTTTGTTTGTCTAGTAATGTCTTTTTTTCTCCTTCGTGTTTGAAGGATTTTTTTTTTTTTTGCTGGATATACTATTATAGGGTAAAAGTTTTTTCCTTCAGCACTTTAAATAATGTCATGGCACTGTCTCCTGGCTTATAAGCTTTCCACTGAAAAGTCTGCTGCCAGGCCTATTGGAGCTCCATTGTATGTTATTTTTTCTTTTATTTTGCTGCTTTTAGGATCCTTTCTTTATCCTTGAATTTTGGGAGTTTGATTATTAAATGTCTTGAGGTAGTCTTTGAAATCTGCTTGGTGTTAAATCTGCTTGGTGTTCTACAGCCTTCTTGTACTTGGATATCGATATCTTTCTCTAGATTTGGGAAGTTCTCTGTTATTATCACTTTGAAAAAACTTTCTATTCCTATCTCTTTCTCTCTCCTCTGCAAGGCCAATAACTCTTAGATTTTCCCTTTTCAGGCTGTTTTCTGGATCCTGTAGGTGTGCTTCATTGTTTTTTATTGTGTTTTTGTTTTGTCTCCTCTGACTGTGTATTTTCAAATGGCCTGTCTTCCAGCTCCCTAGTTCTTTCTTCTGCTTGATCAGCTTTGCTATTAAAGGACTCTGAAGCATTCTTCAGTATGCCAATTGCATTTTTCAGCTCCCAAATTTCTGTTTGATTATTTTTAATTGTTTCAATCTCTTTCTTAAACTTATCTGATGGGATTCTGAATTCCTCCTCTGTTATCTTGAATTTCTTTGAGTTTTCCTCAACACAGCTATTTTGAATTCTCTGTCTGAAATGTCACCTATCTCTATTTCTCCAGGATTGGTCCTTGGTGCTTTATTTAGTTCTTTTAGCAAGGGCATGTTTTCCTGGATGGTGTTGATGCTAGCAGAGGTTCTTCAGTGTCTGGGCACTGAAGAGTTAGGTATTTATTGTAATCTTCACTGTCTGGGGTTATTTGTAGCTGTCCTTCTTGGGAAGGCTTTCCAGATACTTGAAAGGACTTGGGTATTGTGAGCTAAGCTGTATCTGTTTTGGGGGATGCTCCAAGCCCAGTAGCACTGTGGTTCTTCCAAACCTGCAGAGGTGCTGCCTTTGTGGTTTTGGACAAGATCCAGGATAATTCTCTGGATTTCCAGGTAAAGACTCTTGTTCTCTTCCCTCAAATTCTTCCAAACACACAGTTTCGCTCTGTGTTCTGAGCCACCTGAAGCTGGTCGGGGGGAGGAGTGACACAAGCATCTCTGTGGCCACCGCTACTATGACTGTGCTGGGTCAGATCTGAAGCCAGGAAAGCACTAAATCTCTCCCAAAGCCTGCTGTAACCACTCCCCGGCTACTGCCTATGTTCACTCAAGGCCCTGTAGCTCTAACATCAGCAGGTGACAAAGCCAGCTAGGCCTGTGTCCTTCCCTGCAGGGCCGCGAGGTCCCTCAGGCCCCGGGTGGGTCCAGAGGTGCTGTCTGGGAGTCGGGGAGTAGAGTCAAAAACCTTAGAAGTCTATCTAGCGTTCTATTGTACTGTGGCTGAGCTGGCACTCAAACGACCAGATGCAATCCTTCCCACTCCTCCCTCCTGTATTAGTCTGTTCTCATACTGCTAATAAAGACATATCTGAGACTGGGTAACTTATAAAGGAAAGAGTTTTCATGGACTCACAGTTCCACATGACTGGGTAGGCCTCACAATCACGGTGGAAGGCAAAGGAGAAAAAAACGTCTTACATGGTGGGAGGCAAGAGAACATGTGCAGGGGAATGGCCCTTTTATAAAACCATCGGATCTCATGAGACTTATTCACTATCATGAGAACAGCATGGGAAAAGACCTGCCCACATAATTCAGTGATGTCCCACTGGGTCCCTCCCACAACATGTGGGAATTACGGGAGCTACAATTCAAGATGAGATTTGAATAGGGACACAGCCAAACCCTATCACCTCCCCTTTACAAAGGCAGAGGAGCTGTCACTTGCTGAATGTTCCACTGAGCTGCCAACAACTGGCCAGATGGCTAGGGAGCCCCTCGCCCTGTAGCCCTTGCCACTCCAGGCCACAAGAAATACTGCCAGATTATCTCCAATGTTCCCTTAAGGCCCAAGGGCTCTTAAGTCAGCTGGTGGTGAATGCTGCCTGGCCTGGGACTCACCCTTTAGGGCAGCGTGATCCCTTCTGGCCCAGGGCAGGTCCAGAAATGCCATCTAAGAGTCAAGGCCTGGAAGCAAGGACTCCAAGAGCCTACCTGGTGCTCTACGCCCCTGTGGCTGTGCTGGTACCTAAGGTGCAAGAAAGACAAAGTCCCCTTTACTTTTTCTTCTGCTTTTTTCAAGCAGAAGTTTTGTCCTGTTGCCACCACAGTTGATAATGTGCTGAGTCTCACCTGAAGCCAGCAAATCTCAGAGGCTCAGAAAGGTGCCTGATGTAGTGTCTGGGTATTATTGCTGGTTATTCGGGGCCCAGGGGCTCTTCACTTAGCAGGTGATGAATGCTGCCAGGACTTGTTTTTTTTTTTTTTTTCTTCAAGGCAGTGGGCTCCCTTCTGGCCCAGGGTGTGTCTAGAAAAGTCGCCTGGGAGCTAGGGCCTGGAACAGAGGCCTCACGACTCTGACTGGTGCCCTATCCTGATGTGGCTTGGATGGTATCCAAGATGCAAGACAAAGTCCCCCCTACTTTCCCTCTCCTCTCCTCCAGTGGAAGGAAGGGGTCTCTTTTGGAGCCGTGATCTGTGTATCCCGGAGCGAAGGGTTGGGTGATGCTGGTACTCCCTTGGCTGCCCCAGCTGGCATCTCAGTATGTCTCGTCCCCTCCATCCCTGTCCACTGTCCCTGGGTCTAGTTCAACACTAGGACCCACCTAAGAGTTGCGGTCCTTATGTCCTAGACTGCCTTTCAAATTTACTTGGAGACACAGAGCACTGTAACCCTTGGTGGCAGTGCCGAGGTTTGCAGGCACTTAAGTTAGGACTGTTCCCCTCTGGCTAGCGCTGGTTTAAACACTCCCTCGATGGGTGGGCATCAGCTGAGTTTGATCAGGTTTTCCTTTCTCCTCTAACAGGATTGTGCTGCTTTCAATGTCTCACAGTTGCTGTGTTCTCTCTCCCACGGCACCTAGAGACACTCTGCACCAGGCCACTGCTGCCCAGAGGAAGGGAGGGGTGGCGTCTGTGATCCAGGACTGTTTCTTCTTTCTTTTCCCTTTTTTCTTCTTTTGAGATGGAGTCTCAAGCAGTTCTCCTGCCTCAGCCTCCCGAGTAGCTGGGACTACAGGCATGCGCCACCACGTCTGGCCAATTTTTGTATTTTTAGCAGAGATGGAGTTTCATTGTATTGGCCAGGCTGGTCTCGAACTCCTGACCTTGTGATCTGCCCACCTCAGCCTCCCAATGTGCTGGGATTACAGGTGTGAGCCACTGCGCTCGGCCTTTTGTTTTGTTTTGTTTTTGAGACGAAGTCTCACTCTGTCATCCAGGATGGAGTGCAGTGGCATGATCTCGGCTCACTGTAACCTTCGCCTCCTGGGCTCAAGTGATTCTCATGCCTTGTCAGCCTCCTGAGCAACTAAAATTACAGGTGTTTGCCACCATGCCCAACTAATTTTTGTATTTTTAGTAGAGATGGGGTTTCGCCATGTTGGCCAGGCTGGTCTTGAACTCCTGACCTCAAGTGTTCTGTCTGCCTCAGCCTCCTAAAGTGCTGGGATTACAGGAGTGAGCCACCGTGACTGACCCCTCATGGTGAGTTTTGGAACAGTCACCTCAGGATTGTGTGTGGAGGAAGGCGTGTTCAGGAGCAGCCGGCACTGCAGGGCATGTGTTTCTTGACCTCGCCTCCTCTCCAGGTGGGAACTGTGGTGTGGTTGGTGTCACTACTGTGCTACCTTTTCCGTGTTTGCGCGAAAGAGAAGGAAGGAGGAAGAGACAGGAGGTTGCTTACCTGGGCATTCTGCTCAGGGGGTGAGGTCACCAGGACTTTTTCAGCAGAACTTCCTCCACCAGTTCCTCTGTCAATGACGGTCCTCGCCCTGCATGGGGTTTCTAATGTGGGTAGTAAGCCTGCACTCTGCAGCTGCCCAGAGGCCCATCTGAGAACATGCACCTTGTGGTCAGCTTCTTGAAGGCCCCAGTGGGGCTTCTAAGTGGCCGCCACCTTCTCGATGCCCATCAGCTTTCAGTGCCACACTGTAACCTGCTTGAAGTTCTGCAGAGCTGCCAACAACTTGCCAGTCAGCTAGGGAGCCCCACAGACTACCAGGACCCAGGTCACCAGGTAACCCCTCTGCCCTGGCTGATCATCCTTGTGATGGTCATCTAACCTGGCAACAGGTTATAGGACCTGACAACAGGGGCTATAGAAAAAACGCTCTCCACTCAGTTGATGGCGTGTTTTATACCCAGTGATGCCTGCGTTTACAAGAGCAGAATTGATGAATAAGCCTGTGCTGACCTCCATGGGGAGACGGCCGGTTTTTGAGGCTCAGGGCACCTTCCATTTGTTGTGGACACCTGGTCTCACGTGCCTCCCTGCTCTGCATTTTGTGGTAGCAGCCCAGTGTCGGCTGAGACATTAGCCTTTAAAGCATGCCCTCTTTTGAGAAATGAGCTGCTAGTTGGCTTGAAGGCAGGAGGCTG